ATTGATGGGGTGCTCAAAATCTTGTTTCTCCACATAAACATAATAATCATAACTACTGATGTGTTTTGGTGTGTATTCAAGAAAAGTGAGATGGAAGGATCTTGAAGATTAGCCATTTTTCAAACAGTTTATGCAACCATACCTCTTACATAGTAACAATAGCAGATGACTATTGCTTTTATTTGAACAGGAATTTTTTACATTTTTTGTACAATCATGAGGGCTTCGTAAAAAAAATAAACCATTCTGTTTCCAGGACCTTGTTTTGTACAGGATTAATGAGGAATGTTGGTGAAAAATTTGGAAAATGGTGTAAATGTGGTGGGAATGATTTATCATCTGTGACCAGTTCCACTTCTAAAACAAATGCAAGTCCATAAAAATGATACTGGGTGTTTGCTGGGTGTATTTCTCATGAACTCTGCTTACACCAAAGATGGAGGTTAAATCCCTGGCAAGGGATGTCTGATGTCTGATGGGATGCAGTGTTTTTTAGTTCCATGGGACTGATTCAGAATCATAATATCCTATTTAACTTTTTTAAACTTCACTGAGAAGTCATCTGATGTCCATGTAAACCCACCCATGGTGCTTTTGGTATTTCTTTTCTACATGACAGTAGCTCCTATACTGCCTATTGCTGCATAGGTGCAATAAGGGTTCTTTTTCTCTACATGCATTACTTTTCACATAAGAACATTGATATTTCTGCTGAGACTATAAGCAATGCAGAGATGAAATTCAGAGATCTCCTATTCTGCTTCTAAGAATTCCTTCCAAGCTGGAGGGATGAGGAATTATGCAGTTTGGGCGAATGCTGTGTGCTGTGAACAGGAGATTCAGTCTCACTGTATATCGTGAGTAAAATTTCAGTTTAAACAGGTATGAACTATTTTGGAAAGATTATTATGTTTCTGCTGAATTTGGTCAATATCGTCTGGTGTACAAATTTTCTTTAGTTATTAAAAGGCACAGCTATCTCTCTTTTATGCAACGACTTTTTCTACAAAACATTCTGGGACTTTTAAAGAGAGCCCTGAATATTTGCTGCAATCTGTCCCATCTCTGTTCTCTAGGGGAGTCCTCTCTCAGCCCAATCCAAAAGGTTTCTGTGCACATTTCCAGTAGTTCAGACAAGTTCCCCTCACTCGTTCATTAGAGGCTCCAAAGGTCATTTAAATTTTACTTATTCATGAAGGAAGAGCTGAGGCATTTTCTTGGATAAAATAAGAAAAGGATGTTCTGAGAAAATACAGGGCCTATCATGCCTTACAGGGTTTGAATTTTGTTGTTGTTGATTTCCTATTTGTAGGGAGATACCTCTAAAGACTTCTACTAAATGAATACCTTTTTGGGTTAAGCCAACACTGTAATAAAAGCCCATTCTGACATGCTGATTCTTGAATTGAATCTCCAACGCCTTTTCTTCATGGATCTTCTTCTGTTCTGATCCAAGCTTTCTATACATTATTAGTCAGTAATATATGGATAGAATACCTTGAAGAAGTGCAATATCTGAGCAGGCATCAACTAATTATTGAGACTTGCCTCCCCAGAGTTTAATTCTCTAGAGCATAAACAAGTAAGAAGAAAATCCATGTATGTGATTTGCTCATTGCACAGAAGAAGGAAAGATGTTACTGGACCCATCTGAAGTTTTGAGATACATCAGTAGGCTTCTCCACAGACCTGTTTTAAGCACTCTCCAGTAAGTTTGGAATATTTTAGTGAAGAAAGTGCAGTATGGATAAAAACTCTCTTACTGCTTAAGGTCAGATATAGGTGGAGTGATTTCTCATTATTTTTACTAAATTAAGGTAATAGAAAAAACAATATGCATTGACCTCTTCACAGGCTTTGTCTGCGTGTATGCAGCTAGTGAGTGGATTCAGTGATTCAAACTCTTGACCTTGCCTTCGCTGAAGATGGAGGAGATGATGGTTTCACATACTCAGCTGTTTGATTTCCTTTCCACTAGCCATAATTAACATTTACTCAAGCAACATTAGGAAGAACATAAATATTTCAAAGAAGCTAATTACAGCATCCAATACATCCTCCAAGCTATTCGTTTAATGAGGATGTGCCTTGTTCCTGCAATAGTGATACATTAATTTCACCAAGCAATTAAACAAAACAAAAACAGACACAACAGAGAAAGAGGTATTTTTTCTCCTGTTTACAAGAATGCTCACTTGTATTTCAGTGAGTTCCTTGCATAAAGGTGACCATCATAAGCTATGTAAACCTCCTATAAGATGAGATTCAAGCTTGGATAACTTGCTCTGTCAAAATTCACACAGATTTCAGTTGAAATATTGCCTTGGTATAAACTTCAGTTTGGGCCTAATGCAAATATACGTTTTTGTTTAAAGGTGTATTGTTTTTTCTAGTATATAATTAGGAGGGTTGTAGTTACACCGAAATCAGTTTACCTTACCCATATATCAGGAAATGCAAAACTACACTGATGCTCTTAAAAAAGGTGTAGTCTAAAATGAAATGCAGTTCATACTAGCTTGGAAGTACTGGAAGACTGTACCCTATTAGATTCAGATAATGTAACTCAAGGCAAAAACAGGATTGCATGTGTAATGAATGACTATTGCTTTTGCCCACTAACAGAAATCTGCTGAAAACAAAATTCAGGTTTCAGATGAAAGATTATGGAGCAATACAAATCCAAGCATAGAGAGAAGTATTAAATGTTTTGAGGTTTGGTTTGTTTTCTTCTGGTAAATGGAAGTTCAGTATTTTTGTACCTGGAAATTTTTCCCATAATCTTCAAAATCTCTTTTAATATGTTTTTGTTCAAGCTGATTCAGCAAAATGTTTCAGACTGCAGTATTAAAACACATTGCACAAAAATGCAATTTCTAGGCTAATTAGAACTCTTTCAACTGAAAATAAAGTTTAAATCATGATGTATCTTTTTCCCCTATTCTTAAAACACTCTTCACCATTCAATGGGTGCAGAATATTTACTTGTACCTTACTCTCAAATTATAAAAGACTAATTTATTTTATTTCACAATCTATTAAATATTTAACAAGAAGGTAATAATTAAAATGCATAACAAATTAAATCCTTCCTTAGGCCAAGGCTCAGGACACTGATTCATGTGTTTGATTCATGATAGATTAGTGAGATACGTTCCAGTGCTGATGACTTCCCATTTATGATAATGTCTTCTAAATAACTGTCTTCTGGTTTTATTAACAGAAACCAGAACCAAATGCAATTCCTCAATCTGGATTGTCTTAAAACAGCTCTTTTAATTAGGTCAATATAAATATAATAATACATACAAAATACAGGCTTTAATTTATGTACTGATCTGATCACCGGCTTTCCATTGACAGAAGGATTAGCCCTGTTCCCAGTCATATTAAGGAAAGCTTCATGACCAAATCTGATAGAGAAGATACTTAGAATCATTAAGGTTGGAAAAGGCCTCTAAGATCATCAAGTCCAACCACTGATTGACCCACCACCACCATGCCCACTAAACCATATCCGAAAGTGCCACATCTACACTTCTTTTGAGCCCCTACAAGGATGGTCACTCCATTACTTCCCTAGGCAGCCTGTTCCAATGCTTGACCACTCTTTCAGTAATGAATTTTTTCCTAATATCTAATTGAAACCTCCTCTGGCACAACTTGGGACCATTTCCTCTCATCCTATCACTGGTTACTTTGGATAAGAGACTAACACCTTGCTATAACTTCCTTTCAGGTAGTTGTAGAGAGTGGTAAGGTCTTCTATTCCTTCTATTACTATGAGAATTTTATAACATCTTAGCATCCTTCCTAGCAAAGCTTTCAAAATTTTGATGGCCTGTCAAAATGTTCAGGGTGGCAGAGCACAATTTGTAGCACACACAATCAGTAAGTGTAAAGGCAAAAGCAGACAGCAATGCTATGGTTATAAATCAAAGTTATCTTCTGTTTCACAGCTCTTGTCAGGCAGCTTTACTCCGCCCCACACCATTCACTCCTCACTCAAAACCCACTGAAATGGTCAATAAGCACCCTGCTGGGACTGGTGTGTTGGCTGGGCTAAGCTGCCTAAGTGTCTTTACAGATTTGAGGTCTGTGTGCTTCTGGATATCTTACAATGTAGTTCCTTTGGCTATCTACAGGCATAAATAACAACTGGGAACAAGGTCTGTAGCTGTATTTGAAGTAAAGTGCTTTGCTGAGCACAATATTAGGATTTTAATCCCCAAATATCACCATATTACTGAGTTCTGTTTCACAGAGCAGCATTTTGTGTGTATTTAAGGCACAGGCAAAGTCAGGAGTTACTCATACCCCTGCAGCAGTATGTCCTCCAGAAAACCGACTGATCAGCAGGTCCCGAGGTAGATGGGTGCTCTTAGCTCCACATCCCAGCCACCCATGTCCTCTCCCACATGCAACTCAATGAGCTTCACCTCCCAGATTCAGCCAGTTGGAGGCAAATCTGTGTGTCCCACCGGGCTGGGACAACGTCTGAACGTTCCCCTTTGTCTACCCCCATGTCACCACTCCAAGCCGCTGAGCGTGCCAAGGGAGAAGAAGAACCTTTTGCATCAGCCATCACGGCGGCGGCTGGGACTCTGGATGTTTGACGTATAGCTTTTTTTAAGGACCTTTTTTTTTTTTAAGGACCTTTTTTTTTTTAAGGATTTTTCTTAACGAGGGTGTTTAATAAAGGGTCTGGACCCTGCCCAACGCCTCGCCTCGCTGCCAAGCAGGGGCAGCCACCGCCCCAGCAAAGGTTTGCTCACCCCCGGGGTGGCAGCGGGGCTGAGTCACCGCCTGCGCGGCGGAGGAGACACGGCTCTGCCCTGACGTGGCCGGGGGCGGGTGGCGGGCAGGGCGGCTGAGGCGCCCGCCCTCATCCAGGTCATTGCTCGTCCACGTGTCAGGGAGACTTAAAAAGTTTGGAGAGGGAGGAAGGCCATGCTCAGCAGAGCGGCGGACAAGAAGGCAGCGCAGGGGACACCGCGGGCATGGGAACCCTTTGCCAGCAGCCGTCACCTGCTAACGCCCTTCAGCGCAGCCCGGGGAAGGCAGGGGACGGCGCGGCGCTGCCGGGCTCCCTGCTCCTCCTCCTTCTCCTCGCCTCCTCAGTGTCTGCATGTAAAGGTGAGGAGCATCCCCCTCGTTCCTGCACTGCCTGCTCTGCAATATTTTTTTTTTTTTTTTTTTCTGGGAGGAGCAGCTTTTCATGCCGCTACTTCGCCGCCGAGCCGGGCTGCGGGCAGGTGCGGGGCTGGGAGAGATGCGGAGATGCGCAGGTTTGAGGGGGAGGGGGTGTGTGAGGGTTTTGGGGTGCTCCCTCGTGTACCCCGGCAGGATTACCCTGTCTTGGCAAACCTACACTCCAGCAACTCGGGGAAGTGGCTTTTGTTAAGCGGGATTTAATTTTAAATGTAACTTACTCCGATGAAAAGCTAAGAAAAGGGGAATGGTATGTATTGTGGAGCTGTAGGAAAATTTAGGACCCTCTGGAAGTCACCTAGTCCAACCTGAAGCAATATGTATTGCATGAGGAATCCCTGGAGGTGGGGCTACCTGGGAAAGGATCGAGTTGCTTTAGGCATAGAGCTTGATTATATTGATTTAATTTGAAATCTGTTACACCTGAGAGTTTTGTTTTGTTTTCTTTTGTACCAGGGAGTGCTTGTCAAACAAGCACAGATAATGGGCTTTTTAACAAAATGTACTCTTTTCTATTGTCCCACTCCAGATGTGGAGTAACATTACACAATAAGTGGCTGTGCAAGGAGTATTTCTGCTTTGTTTGTATTTGTGAGTTACTTTCATCAGGAGTTTTTGTTCTGATTTGTTGTGTTTTAAAATGCCAAGAATCAACAAAATCTAATTACAGAATACTGAATATTCTGTTAAAAATAAATTCTAGAGATGTGGAAGAGAGGAGGGAAGGAAAAGGAGGCCAAGTAAGGGCAGTGGCACACAGTATTTTATCATTGTACCTATAGAAATGATTGCCAGGAGCTTGTGTAGGGAGAGCAGTGAGGAGAAAATTTAAGAAGTGAATCCCAGGTTGAAAAGTGACTGAAACCATCCAGCTGGCATTCTGCTGCCTTGGAAGAAGTTGAGTTTTTATAATTTGACAGAATTGAATGATAAGAGAACAAATATGTCATGAAAAGTGCCAATTCTGTACAAGGATTTAATCTTCCATGTTCCTTTGGAAAAGGATTGCTTTCCTCAGTAGCACCTTTTTTTTCCCCCTCTTCCCCCTATGGAAATTTTGTGTCTATTATAAGACAACTGATTGTTATTATTGGCACTCATAAAACAAGTGGAGATGATGGGCATTCATACCCTGCTCACCTGGCCATTTTAGCTAAGTCTACCTTAATCTCTTTTTTTGTTTAATTTGGTTCAAGTATTTGAAAAAGTTGTGACAACGGGTAATTATAGACTGACTGGAAGGTTAGAAAATCTGTATTAATCCGGTATCTTTAAGAGCAGTATATAAACTGGTCAGTCATGCCTCACAGGCAGAAACTCTGGGCAGGGGGATAAATTACATGACTTGAGGGTTTTCTGCAGCCTTAGGACTGTACAGATAAAACACCATCCTCTGCAGCACCAGTCTCCTTCCCAGTTGAGTAATATATCCAGCATATCCTCACATTGACGTGGTTGTGTCTAGTCCACTCACAGCTCAGTGATGCTCCTTTCTATTATTTACAGAGACTCTGGTAATACATTATTATTGGAAATATATTGCTTTTCCACATCACGTATGCCAGGCAGAGGGAACAAAGCCAGTTACACATGTACTGTTCATCACCTTCTCAAAAATGCCATGTTCATATCACAGGTATTACCCATACACAAGCATACATTCCATAGCACATGTTTAATTGTTTAACTGTAACCTACAACAAAGCAAGGGGTAGGATCCAGGTTCTCAACTTGCAATATGTTCTCAGAAAGCTCGGGCTTGTAGGCACTAGGATGTGTTTTTCTGAGCAGGTTGTAGCATTCGACAGCTGTCCCACAAATTTTCTTGCCTGCTACTTATCACTGAGGATGGATTAAGGCTAGTCTGACCTCTGGTGAAAGCTGAGTAACTTCCACGCTGTTTATTGCTAAGAGATGTGAGCATCCGTATCGGCTGTGAACTTGTGAAGAAGCCTCCTGCTGCAGTGCTAATGAAGAGCAGATGGAAACTACTGGACAAGCCCCACAACACCTGGGGCTGCAGACTTTGCTGGACCACACAGCTCTCAAGCTTTGCTGTTAATAAGTGTGCTAGGTACCATACTGTGTCCAGAGTTTTGATTTAAATCACTGACATGAATTACTTATAAAAATGACCTTTGCTGTGCAGCATTGGTAAGCATGGTTTGTGCTTCCAGGTGCACCGATGCCATCTCAAGCACTCGACGCAGATCAGGCTTTGCAGCTATGGAAAGAGGTAAGCAACATCTGCACTCTGCTGTATGGTATGCTCCATTTCTTCTGTGCCCATCCTTCCTACAGTCACACCTCACTCTCCAGTATTTCTCTTGCTCAGAGTTTGGGTACGTCTTCTTCCAGTCCTGCTTCTCTGATACTTCCCCTATCCTGATACCAGTGAAGAGGTGAAACTTCTTCTTTTCCACGTTTTCTGAACAGTTGTTCCTGGAGGATGTTGAGGCTGGATATTGAGATATCAGTTGGGGAAAAGACTGTCTTAGTTCAGTGGAGAGCTACGTTTGATAGCAGTTGTCATTTAACTCTCAATGACTAGGCTGTCACTGTCACTGGAAGAAACACAGTGTCCTGTCTGGTATTTTTATAGTCTGTTCACGATATGTGGGAATCATTTCAACTCATCCAGTCTTACCTCTTGCTTCTATTCTGCACACAGGGCTGCGCCACTGTATTTAATCCTATCCTACCCTCTCAATTTAGTAGGTAAAGGCTAATGTACTGTGTCAGTCAGCCCCTCTAATATTTTGCTGCTGATCCCTATCATAGCTTCTGCTCTCATCTTTGAAAAGGACATCTGTTTTGGCTCCAGAATGTGATGTGTGTTAACACAGGCTCTCCCCTGCCCTTTTGGAACAGATGAAGTGGCAGGGTGTAATGTGCAGAGAGGGCTTAGCCTGCGACTTGCATGCCCTGGTGTTGCTGTAACCTTCAAGCATTTTGTTGATATTTAATTGTGTAGCTTCTAATAATATTAGAAAGCAAGTGACTCACCAGGCATACAGATGCAGTGAGGAAATTTCTTCCCTTTGAGGCCATTACAGGAGATGCTTCCTGTACTGTCAGCCCCTCTTAGCTCATTTTGGAAGTGTTGACTCAAGGACCAACATATTTCTAGACTAGCACTTGAACAAGTCCTGGTGATATTTATCTCCTGGGAGAAAGTAGTCTTTTGGGAGGTAAGGTCCTGATAGCTTTCAGGAGTTCATGAAAATGAGTTATTTACATTCTGGATTGAAAAACGCTATTTTGGACAATCCTGCATTTATTTGCTAGTTGTAACACAGGATTTGTTCCTAGGCCAACTGTAGGCAAAGACAGAGTTTCCATTGATTTGAGTGAACACAAAAATATGGACAAGGCAATGAATTCTCTGTAGAATTACGTAACATAAGTGATATAAGACTTGCCGTTATAATAAGAATAATGCAGGACTGGTGTGAGTCTAAGTAAAGAGATTTAGATGCATAGGCATATACCCTAAATCAATGTGATCACAGAAACATACCAGTTTACCAAAGTTTTGTGGAGTGAAATGAATCAGTTCTTCCCTGTTTATTACTTTGAGTGGATCATTACTTTGTAAATAAGTATTGTATTCCTTCACTTGTCTCTCACATCCTTTTGTTTCTTTGTTATTTAACCAACCCCAAACAGCTCACAAGCTCCCACTCTCAGGCCACATTTCTGAAATATGAGAGAAAATTACTGAGAAGATGTATCAGGGGTGCTAGAAATTATTAAAATTTTATTTCTATTTTTAAAAAAATGAATTAACAGAAACTGTGGCTTTTCTTCAGTGCTTGCTGTGCCCATGCATGTTTTAGCTGACAGATACCTTGTCCTGTGCTGTGTCTAACACAAAGGAGTCTCTGACTTGCTCTGCTCCTGAGTTATGGTCGTTCTCTAACAGTCACCTCCAACTACAAAACAAGCAAATAAACCAATAAACAATATCAACAGCAACAGCATCAACAAAATCCCTAAACAAGAAGAAACAGAAAATTTTTAACATAGGCTTCCAAAATTACTGCATCTTAGTTTACCTCCTTCACTGCTGATTTCTCCCTCTACGTTTTCTTTCTCTGAAGGTTGTGAAGCTGAACTAATGTACCCAGAGACAAACAACTGCAAGATGAAGGGAAAAGAGAATGAGGAGGATGTGTTACCAACAGAATCTATTTGAAAGTGAAATTCTGAGAGTTGTTAGCTTTCCCACTATCTCTGCTAATGCTTTCTCATAGATTGTCTCAAGAGAAATGAATCATCTCTTGTCTAAAAGTACTCAGCTAGACATTATTTCTTCATTGCTTTTTCCATTTAATGTTTTCATTGCTAAAGAGTGTTGTTTAGGGCTTTTTGCCTGTAATAAAATCATAAGACCCGTTATATTGCCCACTTTTTATTTAAAAAAAAATCCAACACTTTTTAATGCAGTCTATGAACTAGATCATTGGCAAAGCTTTTTTGCATTTAGACAAACAGTATTAGATATTCAATGGAAGAAATAGTGCATACCAATGCTATTGATACAGTTTTGAAGTTATATAATGAAAAATTCAGCCTCTTTTAAAAAATTACTATTAAACTGTGCAGCTTCAGTTCGAGTACTGGAGATTTTTTCTTTTTATTACAGAGTACTTCAAGTATTCTGTAAGTTAAACACTGCTAATATTATTTCCAGGAATTCAGATGTCTTTTATTTTCTTCCTTCTACCTCTCCGATTAATAACTCCGATAGAAATGCTGCAGTAGTATGGAATACTTTCATATTGGAAAAGAGGTAACAGAAAGAGGATATGATTAATTTGCTACACAAGGTCACGAGCAGTAGGAAGAGGGTGGGTAGGAATCACTTATTCATTACTTCTTCCAAGAAAAGATCATGATAGCACTGAATGAAGGTGGCTTGGAAAAGCCCAATAAAGATGAACAGAAGTGGTATTTAATGCAGTGTTTAGGCAGTTCTCGCCATACAATGTTGTGGATACTAAAAGTTTATGGTGGTTTAGTGAAAGAGTGAACAAATTCATAGCACAGAAATCCACTGAGCTTTATTCCGGAGGACTTCCTTCTGACCCAAAGGACTTGCACTACAGATTGCTGGTGGTTGGAGAGCATGGGTTTTGCTCAGCCACTGGTCTTGTCATAGACTCTTCCCCAGGTATTGACATTGGGCCATTTTTGAAGGTAAGATGTACAGATAACGGTCATTTCTCTGATGCAGATGAAATGGAAGTTGAGACTTCTTGGTTTGATTTGTGGATTTATTTGTTTTGGTTTTGTGTGTGTGTGTCACATTGCATTCTGTGCTGACATGTCTGCAAGTCATCAGCAATTACTTCTTCCACAGTGCTCTTTGGGTTAAGATCCCTTGAAATGTATTGAATATATCTCTTACTAGTACTGTGATTTGGGAACCACCTCCTTTAAACAAAATCTTCTAAGACTCCTCATTTGCCAAAGAAATCAGTGCAAACCTCAGATGTCAGCTGCTTGGTGACTCACAAATTGACTGGCATGCACAAGATGTGCTGGCACATACCATAATCATTCAAGAGATGCTTGTGTTGTACACCTGCAGGGTTGCTGGAATCCAGGTGGAAGAGTTGTGCTTGAGGACTGTGCATCGACTCACTTGCTTTAGCTTTGTAATTTTTTTCACAGTTTTGAATAATCCAAAGATACCACATAAGAGGTTTAAGTTCATGGTCCATACTCTAGATGCTTAAATATCTGCTTAAAATATGACATAGTCTGAGGAGATTACCAGTAAAAGGGTCATGATGCATGTAAGAGAATAAAGGACACAGCTATATATGTATTTGCTCAGATCAAGCAGGTATATTTTTTATGTTAAGGCCTTTTTTGCCCCCTTGAATGCAAAATATTTAATGAATGTACCTTTAAGGATTCCTTACAGTGCACAAGCTGCACTGAACTGTTTCTGAAAATATACATATTTTACTTTTTATTAATCTGAATTCTTAAAAAGGGACTGTGTGAACTTTTACAGATAGACGATGCTTGTTCTGCCTACCTGTCCACAGATTCTCAGGCTCAGGTGAGTCAAACAGGTTATATTATTATTTTGATACTATTTGTTACGTGCAGTAGGACTGAAAGTGAGATATCTGAGTTGATGTTTTCTTTGCAATAGGCATCCAGTACATTGGAAGAACTTTGTATTTTGGTCACAGGATTTCTCCAGAAACCACAGGTAACACAAAAGACTAAGCATTTCTGATCTCTCAATGTGCCAGTGTCTACAATGAATTCCAAGGACCCAATATCTGAAGTGTCACTCAGTGCTGGAATGAATACTATCAGTTCTTACTCTGAAATACTATGTGTCCTAATCCAACACCTGTTAAAGGTAACAGGGAGATTGCAATGTCTGAAAAATAACCTCCAGGTTGGGTACAATGTTTTAGGTGTTTTTATTGCTCTAGATTAGAAAAATGGTGAGCTCTCAATGGAGAAAGAAATTTACTTACGAGAGTCTAGGGATATACAAAGGGATATGCTCTCTGCAGAGTTTGTATAGAGCAGTTACATTGATAAGCAAAGACATGTGACATACCTGTCACGGAAGGATAATATTCCAGTCCAGTACTGAAAAGCTTATAATGCAATCAAAATTGTCCATTGCTCTTTTTCAAAAAATAATTAAAAAAAAAATAAAAGGCTTTCTACCAATTATTATTCCCACAGGGTTTAGATGAAAAAGGCAACACCAAAAGGGTAAGATTTCCATGTATGTTTTACGATCACACTAAAATTGTCAAGAAAATCATAACACCCTTTCCCTGTTTTGTAGTAAAACCCCACTTTTAATTTTTTTGAACAGTTCTTATTTCATTACTCTAAGACTCAGGACTCAGGCAACTCAGACGTAATGGTAAGTGGCATATCACCTCCTTGTGAATACATGTGTGCATGTATGGGAAAACAAGATAATACTCCTTTCTGCAGTGGTCTCTCCAGCTGTACAGCAAGCTAAAAAAGGGGAGTTTCACGCTTAAGGTACAGAATGTGTTTTAATAACATGGGAGAGGTTCATCAATACTGTACAGGTGTGAAAAAATTGACCAAGCATTCATGAAGTCCTAACTGAGTCTCAGTCTTGTAGATACAAGATTTAAGAATAAGATCAAATGCTTTTTTTCTGATACTGGAACCTAACAAAAAAATGTGTATTTATAGAAGGTGAGAACAAGAGCATACGTATTAAGAACTCTTAATGCACTTTAATTAACTGTTAATTAAATTGTGTGTAATTATTTGTGCATGTCATAAATATGTATCAGGCATAATAGCGTTTAGTTTTCACTCAGACTTTGGATTATATTTTAAATGAAAAAAATGTTAAAAATAGCCTAGCATTGTTGCTATAAAAATATTCTCCTAAACCAACAAATAAACTATGTGTGATCCATTCTTGCTTTTAAGGTGAAAGCATAATGTTATTTCTGTGCATCTATGTGGTTTTGATGTGTACCGTAGGATTCTGAGAAAGTTAAACATAGTAATGTTTTCTCAACAATCATTCATATATGTTAATGTCCATTTTTGCTGCCGCCCTTACATTTCTTCAGGAATATGTGCTACATTTTCTAGAAAGTGATAATGCTGATATTTGGGCCAGAGTTTTCATGATAGAGCTGCTCTGGAAGTTTTAGTGATATTCAGGGCACAGTGAAATGAGCTGTTTCTGCTGCTGCTCCTGCTTAAGAGGTTACTACATCCTCCTTCATCCCCATCCTGAACACCTTTGCCCCTGCCAGCCCACTGATATTTCTGCTTTCTCGCATCTTCTGGATTAGCCATTCAGCTGACTATTTTGTAGCCCAGTTCCCAGAGACACTAATTTGGGTGAGATCTGTCATTCCTTGGCTTTATTAACCTCCCTGCACTGATGGCAAGACAGAGCCCACGTGGCCAGCTGGGATGCCCTTGAACTCCTCTGCTCACATGAGACTTCTGCTTTTTTAGATATTATGATGCCACATTGCCTACCTTAGGCAGACAGTGCAAAATGGGTTTCAAGTAAGCAAGTTCATTTTACCTATTAAGTATATTAACTCTTTGGTAACTAGTTATTTCATATACTATAATTCCTTTTGTTGTATTAGTTTTCTAAGAAGCATTGTATTAAAAATGCATTCTTTTTAGAAATACGTTTTCATGAGTTGAAGGTCTGAATTGACTGATGGAATATACATTTTTCTACCTTATTTCTCACTGTGGACCTCTCTTCACAAGCCCACCTGGTTGTGTTTTGCCAGGGGGCACTTACACTGCGTTCAGTGCCACTGTGCTTAACCAGGCTGTCTGCAAACATGAAGACTTGTTAAACACAAGGCATTTCAGGACTGGAGCTTGTCTTCTAGGTAGAGTGACCAGTGTTATGCTTACAAATTTTACTTGAGAATGGATCCCTTCTGAAAACTCTTTTCTAGGGGGGGAAAAAAAAAATCATTTTTCTTGCTGTAAGTTATTTTGAAGTAAAATGAACTTTTCAGTACAACAGAGATTGAAGTTGTTGAAGTTCCACAGCAGATAATTCTAGAAATGTTAGTAGTGTATGGAAATGTTCTCTGTACCACTCTCAGAGGCTGATCGAAGTCTGAGTAATTGCAGTTGCCTGGGCAAAGAGTCTCTAAACAGTTCTGAACTTTCAATGAGTAAAGGTGAGGATGCATTGCTTCTCCCTCCATTGCTGTCTGAGCTACCTTCATCGTGTAAATAGAAATGTTGATATCTGTTTTTTGTCAAGTCAGAATGTGCAAAAAATAAGTTTCTCAGTTAACATCCTCGGTCTCTTTTTGGTCCATAAACTAATACTGGGGGAAGAGACTTGTTTTTTGCATCATGAGGTCCAAATTTCATTGTTGCTCATGTTTCTGTGTTCATGTCCTCTCAGTCGTCTGTCCTGCATCCTTTGCTGCAACTCGTTCCCCAGCTTAATGAGAGACGACTGAAGAGACACAAAGTGGACGTATGTAATCTTAAACTCTGCATGCTTGCATTCTCACACTTTGTGATTCATTACCTCTTCTAAAAAGTTTTGGGTTTTTTTTCCCTATTTGGAATTCAAACCATATATACTCCTTAAACATATATCGTTTAGGACTTAAAGCACTAAAAATTTCCAAGTAATTTCACAGAATCACACAGAATCACAGAACG